GATGCCCACTCTTCCCACTTTTATTCAACATAATATTGGAAGTCGGGTACCTAAGTGTTTCAGTCAGTTAAGTACCTGCCTTAGCTCAGGTCCTGGGGTCAAGGCCCACATCGGGCTCCCTGCTCAGTGGGAAGTTTGCTTCTCCTTATCCCTCTGCCTGCTGCTTCCCCTACTTGTACTCTCTCTCTGTCAAATAAGTAAATAAAATCTTTGAAAAAAAAAATGTCCAAAAAACCCCATAATATTGGAAGTCATAGCCACAACAATTAGGCAAGAAAAAGAAATAAAAGGCATCAAAGTTAGAAAGAAAAAAGCAAAGCTGTCACTATTTGCAGGAGACTTGATAATATATATAGGAAACCATGAAGATTCCATCAAAAAACTATTAGAATAAGTGATTTTTGATAATATAATAGGATATAAAATCAATATACAAAAATCTGTTGAGTTTCTGTACACTAATAATGAACTACCAAAGAGAAATTAAGAAAATAGTTATGTTTACAAATGCATCAAAGGAAAAGAATGCCTAGGAATAAATGTAACCGAGGAGGTGAAAGATTTGTGTAATGAAAACTACAAGATATTAAGGAAAGAAATTGAAGAAGGCACAAATAAGTAGAGAGATATTCCATGCTTGTGGATTGGAAGAATTAATATTGTTAAAATGTCCACACGACCTAAAGCAATATACAGATTTTAAAGCAATTCCTATTAACATTCCAATGGCATTTTTCACAGAAATAGAACAGACAGTCCTAAAGTATATATAGAACCACAGAAGACCCTGAATCAGCAAAGCAATCTTGAGAAAGAAGAACAAAGCTGGAGGCATCATACGCTCTGATTTCAGACTTTATTACAATGCTATAGTAATTAAAGTAGTGTGCTGTTGGCATAAAAGGAGACATTAGATCCGTGGAACAGAATAGAGAGCCCAGAAATAAACTCACTCGTGTGGTCAATTAATATATGACAAATAGGCCAAAAATATACAATGGGAAAAAGACAATCTCTTCAAGAAATCATGTAGGGAAAATTGGACAGCCACATACAAAAGAGTGAAACTAGACTACTATCTTGCACCATACAAAAAAATTAACTCAAAATGGATTAGGGACTTAAATGTATCATCTAAAACCAGAAAAATTCTAGAAGAAACCATAGGCAATAAGCTCCTTGACATAGGTGGGTGGCAATGATTTTTGGAATCTGACACCAAAAATAAAAGCAACAAAAGGAAAAATAAGCAAGTGGGACTACATCAAATGACAAAGCTTCTTCACAGCAAAGGACACCATCAACAAAATTAAAAGGCAACCTACTGAATGGGAGAAAATATTTACAAATCATATATCTGTTAAGAGGTTAATATCCAAAATATATAAAGAACTCATACAACTTCATAGCAAAAAAAAAAAAAATAAAAAGATTCAACTAAAAAATGAGCAGAAGATCCGAATAGACATTTTCCCAAAGAAGACATCCAGATGGCCAACAGACACATAAAAAGATGCCCAGCATCACTCATCATCAGGGAAATGCAAATCAAAACCACAATGAGATACCGCCTCACACCTCTTAGAACTGCTGTTATTGTACAGACAAGATAACCAGTGTTGGCAAGGATGTGGAGAAAGGGAACCTTTGTACACTGTGAGAATGTGAATTGTTTTAGCCACTATGGAAACAGTATGAAGTATGGAACAGTATGAAGCTTTCTCAAAAAATATTTACTCAAAGAAAACAAAAATACTTACTCAAAGAGACATATGCACTCTTAAGTTCATGGCAGCATCAATTACAATAGCCAAGATATGGAAATAGCTTAAAAGTCCACCAATATATGAATATGTAAAGAAGATGTGTGTATATATATGTATAAATTCAGCAGTAAAAAAGAAGAAAATCTTGTCATTTGACAACATGGATGAACCTTGAGGGCATTATGCTAAGTGAAATATCAGAAAGATAAATACTGTATATGATCTCACTTATATGTAGAATCTTTTTTTTTTTTAATATGTAGAATCTTTAAAAAAAAAAAAAAGTTCATAGATCCAGAGAACAGGCAGAGGCAGGGGCTGGGAGAAATGGGGGAAGGGAGTCAGGTTTTAAGAAATTAAAAAATCATGAGCTACAAAAAGCAATGTAGTATTCTGGGTCGGATCCTAAAACAGAAAAAGGGCATTTGTAAAAAAAAAAAAAAAAATGGGTAATACCAGAATCAAGTAGGGTGTTTTGTTAATAGTAATGTACAATGTTGGTATTTTAGTTTTGACATATGTACCATTAGGAACTGGGTGAGGAATACATGGGGGAAATTAGTAAATAAACATAGAAATGTAGAAACAAATTTAAAAAAATTTTACAGTGAACTTTTATGTGTCCACCATCAATATTATTTTATTCGGTCTGCTTTATTACAGAATATCTGTTTACCACACTCTTTATCCACAAGTCTGTCTGCAAAGTAAATTGCAGATATCAATACCCTTCCTACTAAATATTTTCAGTATGCACACCACTAACTAGAGTTCAGTATGTTTACAAATTTTTCTTTTTCTTTCTTTTTTTCTTTTTTTTAAGATTTTATTTATTTGTCAGAGAGCAAGAGAGAGAGGACAGGCAGGGAGAGCAGCAGGCAGAGGGACAAGCGGACTCCCTGCTGAGTAAGGAGCCTGATGCATGGCTCGGTGCCAGAATCCTGGGATCATGACCTAAGCTGAAGGCAGACGCTTAACAGACTGAGCCACCCAGGCATCCCCCAATTTTTCTTTTGATGCCAGATTTGCCTACAGTACATTTACTGAGTATTAACAAATGCTTATGCCTGTGTAACCCTAACCCCCACCGAGATGGGAGAGTAGTACCATCACACCGGAAAGTTTCCTCCTGCTCCAAACCATGCAGTCCTCACCCTGTCCCTGGGCTATCTGTTCTGGAAAACTGCTCCTTTGCCAACACAGATTACTTTGTTCAAGAGCTTAATATAGGTGGAGTTGTACAGTATGTATTCTTTTGTACTAGGCTCCTTTTATTTAGCATCTTTTGTGATTCATCGATGTTGTTGTGCGTATTGGTAGTTCATTGCTTTTTTTGCTGGGTAGTTACCCATTGTACAAATATATGATCTTTTTTTTTTTTTTTTAAATCCATTCTCCTATTGATGCATCACTGTTTCCAGTTGGGGGCTATCCTGAATAAAGCTGCAGCGAACAACACAGAAGTCTTTGGGGACATATGTTTTCATTTCTTTTGGGATTAGAATTGCTTAGCCATAGTTGAGGTGTATGTTTCGTTTTATAAGAAACCTCCAGAACTTTTCTCAAAGTGGTTGTACCACTTTATATTCCCACTCACAATGTATGAGAATTCCAGTTGTTTCTTATCTTCCCCAGTATTTGGTGGTGTCAGCCTTTTTAATATTCTGGTAGGTGCGTAATGGTATCTCATTAGGGTCCCCCATGGGTTTTTATGCTTCAGTTCAGTTTGGGGAAAATGAATGGAAGAAGGGAAGAATGAGAAGCAAACAGTTCTGTTTTGGGATCGTATACAGTGTAGACTTCATAGCACTTATGTACAAATTCTCCAAATCCTCATCCTTTTTATACCTTTCTATTCTTTTTAGATAATGCATTGTTCTTTCATATTCTTCAAATTCATTCTTTATGTTCATAATTACCTAAAACCTATTACTTTCTAGGAGTATTCAATACTCTGAAATTCTTTAGTGCCTGAGACTGCTCTTGTATCTGCTGGATTTGGCTCGTTTGAACTTTGTGCTTTATAATTTTGGAACAGGAGCTGATGTTAAGTTAGAATTTATTTGTGGGAATTCTGTCTGGTCTTCCCTGAGGGTGTTTGTTTGCTTTACCCTTAATTCAGTGATATCATGAGCCCGTAGCCACTTTCTTTTTTTAAAGTTCTTCGTTTGGGCAATTTCAGCCATAGGAGGAATAGAAATTCAAAGCCCAAATCTATTAGAAAACAGGCCCAAGTTTATGAATTCACTTCGAGACTTTTTAGCACCCCATGTCCTATCTAAGACAAGCAATTGCCTCTGCTAGTGGACTAGCTTTTCCCCTGTCCGTCCTTTCATTGATGAGTGCTGTGTTCAGGGCAGAGGGTATCTCTGTTTCAACCCTCTTTTCTTGCATGCCATGATCTCGTCTCCTGTCCCTGGCTGCATTTTAGACCTTGACTTTTGGATGTCAAGATTGGCCTTGCACAACAGGGCCACTGTCTTAGTTCAGCAAGTTATTGACACTTATCACAAGTTATCACAAGTTATTGACTGGGGGGCTTAAACAATGGACATTTATTTCCCACGGTTCTGGAGGCTGAAAGTCCAATATCAAGGTACCAGTAGATTTGGTGTCTGGTGAGAGCATGCTTCCTGGTTTGCAGATGACTGTCCACTTCTTGTATCCTCACATAGTGGGGGCAGAGAGAGAGAGAGAGAGCACTCTTATATCTTTTATAAGGACCCTGATCTCACTTGTGAGGCTTTCACTTTCATGACCCAATTGTCTCCCAAAGACTCCACCTCCTAATACTATCACAGTGGAGTTAGAGCTTCAACAAATGAACAAATGACAAACGTTCAGTCCAAAGCAGCCCCCATGTGGGCCACTGCCCTAGGCCCAGGGCCTGTTCTTTTTTTAGTCATAGAATTAATTCTCCTTTCTCTTGGGCCTATCTGTGCATCTGAATGATGTTTGTGTTATGCTATCCTACATAGATAGGTCTTTTGCAGCAGGGACGTTTTAAAATTTTTCTGTTTCTCCATGTTGCCAGAAATGGAAGCTTAAAGGAATAAAACTTGTGGTTTTCTGTGATTCTTGAAAATATGACAAACAGTTCATCTTACAATGTCTGTCCTCAAAAAAAAAAAAAATTAAGGCACACTAAGCACATGGTAGAACTTTGCATGTTTTTTGGATAATGACTCTTTGCACTGAGATGCCTTCTTGTTTTTGTTTTGTTTTGTTTCACAGGGCACAGCTCTGAGTGGGGAAAAGTGGTGCATTTCTGAACATTCTCAGGATTCACAAGGAAACCAACCATGTCCTTGGATGACATTAAGATGAAAACTAGTGACTTATTGGAGAAGGAGTACCTGGACAGCGGGGGTTTCGGAAAGGTGTCTCTGTGTTTACACAGATGCCATGGACTCGTAATACTGAAAAAGGTGTACACGGGACCCAAGCGCACTGAGTGAGTCAGGAGCAGAGGTGGTTGGGCCAGATTACAGGCTGGCCATGGGAAGAATTACTGTGGAGATGCAGGGCAGGGCAGTGAATAAACATGGCCCAGGCGTTTGAAGGAGACAGACTGTGGTGTGTCAGTGGGCACACTTTTTGTCCAATAACGCTGAGAGCTGGTTTTTATTATCCCTGTACTGCTAAATGGGGATTCTGAGGCTGGTTAGCAAAAAGCTCCCAGCTAACAGACAGTGGAAGAGAAGCGAAGAGAAGGAATTAGAGAAAGGGAAGGAGATAGACTCCTGTACTTGCTGCAACGTTTTGGCGGGGACCAGCCCTACCTATAGAAAAAAAAAAAAAAAGGTAGGCCATTAATTAGAAGTTCCAGAAGCCCTCTCTTTAAAGCAGTTGGTAGATTTGTTTCACTTCCCTCTTTTCTTTCCAGAGTCGTTACCAAGAGAGGCTGCATTTTCTCTTATGCCATCTGTTCAGGCTGCCTCTCCTTGTGGCTCTCCACATGCTTCACATTCATTCGTTCTTTGCTCTGATGTTTCTTGAACACTCGCTACCCATCACTGGGAAGGACTGAGAAATTCCTCTACCTGTGGACACCCACTGTCTAGAAGAGATCAGGGCACACACAGGCATCAACACCAGTGTGTGATGCGTTGGAGGAGTGTACTGCATTTCTTGGGGGCACAAGGGATGAGTGTGCGAACTCTGCCCATCTTGACAGCACCTTTCTGTCCCGCAGGTACAACGAGTCCCTCCTTGAGGAGGGCAAGATGATGCACAGGCTGAGGCATAATCGGGTAGTGAAGCTGCTGGGCGTCATCATAGAAGAAGGGAACTACTCCCTGGTGATGGAGTACATGGAAAAGGGCAACCTGATGCACGTTCTGAAGGCAGAGGTAAAGAGGGCTTCGCTGCGTGCTCGACCCGCACTGCTCCCTGGGCGCTGCTCTTCTGTGATAGTTTTCACTGTCATAGTTGTTGGTGTCAAATAACCCCCTTGTGAGTTTGGATTTTCTGAAGTCAATACCGGGTGAAAATGTCCTGAACTTTCCCTGCCCAGAAGGTGGTCTTGCTTTCCTGTCAGTCGTTGCAGATAGCTGTCTGTACCCCTCACTTTGGGGGGGGTCCCCCTGTGTCTTAGTGCTGGAGCTGGCCTTGGTCAGCCACTCCAGCATCCACAGTTCAGGGGTAGGCACTGTCTTCCAGAAGCCCGTGGTCTGACCTGAGGCAGATGCCTGCTGGGTAGCCAGGAGGTGAACGACTGACTGAAGGATGTACACTAGATGTGACTGTCTGTGGAGACGGAATCTTAGTGATTGCTCTTTGATGCCAACTGAGAAACCTAGAGGCTGAATATAGAACATCAGAGGCAACAACACTGGATAAGTAAGACTCACAATAAAAGAAAAATTGTGTATGCAAACCACATCACTTTAATAAAGCATTTTTTAGCGTTTATCTGCCTATTAAGGACAAGGCCTCGTGCTAGTTGCTGAGGAGGCAATAGCAAATAGAACACACCACGGACAGCTGAGGAGGGAACAGTATGGCATAATGGTGTTTTGGTAGACATCTCCCAGCATGCTGTTGGGAACACAGGGGAGAGGTGCTTACTTCTGTGTGGAATAGATAAGAAGGGATTCCAGAAGGAGGATGCTTGAGCCAAAGCCTGAAGGACAAGCAGAGATTTAAGGAACATGTGTTCCAGTGAGAGAACGGCAAAGCAAAGAGAATATGCCAAATTTGGGATACTGCAAACAACTGGATTTGGCCAAAGCATAGACTGCATGTGGGAATGGTGGGCTGTGGCAGTCTGTAGGGCAAATATCCCCTCCTTTCCCCTCACCCTACAGCTCTTCTCCCTCACTCTACAACTGCCTGAGGTTATGTCCGTTCTTTAGGTCTTCTAAGCCCCAGACATCTCTCGCAGACAGCTGTGGGAAGGGTAACAGGTGTTCGCTGATACACATTGTGTTATAATTGAGTTAGACTGCTCTTCTCGCCCAAACTAGGCGAGACCAGCTGCTGCATGAAGTAAGTAGGCATCTTGACTGGGAGATAAATCCTGTGTGACACAAGGCGTCCTGTAGGATGATGTGAAGATAAGGTGAACTAGTTTGAGCTCCAGAAGAATTCAGGAGGATGTGAGGGAGAAAAGCAGAGCGGGGAATGTGAAGGGGATTTCCTTTGCTTGTTCAGAATTTGTTCCGAAGTCCAAAAGTATACCAAGGAAGAAGGGAAAATCTCTGACTCTTTTTTGGATGGTGGTGATCAGGCTACCAATTCAGCTACATTGTGGGTTTTAAATATGGTTTGGGGGGATTCACTTGAGATTCTAACTTCCGTCATTTAAATTTTAGTGTTTACCAACAACCAACATAAATTTTTAGGAAACAGCCCGTTTGTAAACCAGAGACTGCACGTGTGCGTGCACACACAGTTTGCATTTTTCAGTGTTAAGCAAAACTAATGTTTTGGAATGCTCTACATTAACGTTGGTATTTGTGTAACTAGAATACAATTGTTAAGTAAGAATGACTTGCGAATTTACAAAGACCTGAAGTATCTGATAACAGATTACCAAATAGTAAATTCACTTCCGCATTCTTTTCACATCATGATATCTCACATGTTAATCTCTCTATGTTTGTAATCAGTGTGAGCACACTGAGAATCTCTTGTATTCTTTTTTCTCAGTATTATTTCATCTACACACTGCTGTGACATTGTTCACCCATTTAGTATATAGTAGCATATATTAATGCACTGTGGAAAATGCCTGTTTTTTGTTTATCTATTTATCCCTTCATTCAACAACAATTCTAGGCAGTATGCTAGGTAGTAAAGATGCATATATTCTAATCATCATCGTGTTCCTCTCTCAAGGGGCTTAATTTAAAAAATTTTTTTTTAAAGATTTTATTTATTTACTTGAGAGAGAGAGAGTGAGAGAGAAAGCATGAGAGGGGAGAAGGTCAGAGGGAGAAGCAGACTCCCCACCGAGCAGGGAGCCTGATGCGGAGCTTGATCCCGGGACTCCAGGATTATGACCTGAGCTGAAGGCAGTTGCCCAACCAACTGAGCAACCCAGGCACCCAAGGGGCTTAATTTTATAGCATTTTAATGTATTACCATATTGGCATGAAAGTTTTATTTTTACATGACAGAACACAGCATTAATACTGTTAGCACATGGAATGAAATCTTTATTTCAAAGGGGGCTTCTTTTAAAACGATGACAGGGCTGCAGATCATGATAGTAGGACTCCTGGTAGCTACAGTTGGACGCTAACCTATGGTTCCACTTAAGATTTTTTTCACTTTATCATGGGCAAAGCAATGGGCATTCAGTGGAAACCATACTAAGAATTTTGAATTTGGATCTTTTCCTGGGCTGGCAGCATTACGATCCTCTCTTGTGGGGCTGGGCCGTGGCAGTGAGCCACGCGATGACGTGGGGGACAACTGACATCCTCACAACCATTCTGTTACTCACACAGCCATTCACTTTCTCACCTGCTGTTTCAGTATCAGTCAATTACATGAGATAATTACCAGTTTATTGTCAAATAGGCTCTGTGTTAGATGATTTTGCCCAACTAAGGCTGATGGAAGCATTCTAAGTAGACTTAAGGTAAACGAGGCTAAGCTATGATGTCCAGTACGTTAGATATATTAAACACATTTTTTTTTTTTAAATTTTTTTTTTTAAGATTTTATTTATTTATTTGACAGAGAGAGATCACAAGTAGATGGAGAGGCAGGCAGAGAGAGAGAGAGAGGGAAACAGGCTCCCTGCTGAGCAGAGAGCCCGATGTGGGACTCGATCCCAGGACCCTGAGATCATGACCTGAGCTGAAGGCAGCGGCTTAACCCACTGAGCCACCCAGGTGCCCCTAAACACATTTTTGACTTACGATATTGAGGATGTATGATGTGTTTATAAGGACATATCCCCACTGTATGCTGAGAAAGATCTGTATATCCTCTGGTTCAGACCCCACTACTCTGGAATAAAACAGTCGCTTTGGCCCGTTTGACTTACCTTTCCTTTTCATAGACTTAATGTCACTTGTTTTAGGTCAGTATCCCCCTTTCTCTAAAAGGAAGGATAATTATGGAGATCATTGAAGGGATGTGCTACTTACATGGACAAGGCATAATACACAAGGACCTAAAGCCTGAAAATATCCTCGTTGATGATGACTTTCACATTAAGGTAAATCGTAATCTGAAGGTTTCTAGAAGATTGGGGTGATTTAATTTTAATTCTCCATTGTAAATCCACTTCTGTACCTGCTAGATCCCTAAAGGAAGACCTCACTCAGCTTAGAGCTGGCAACAGTGGTGCTGGAAAGTTCTGCTGAGCATTGACAAGAAAGTTATGGACTTGATGGAGTTCATATTACTTATTTATTTACTCTCATCTACATTTTTTTATCAGTTTTTTTATTTTTAAACTGTAACTTACTCCATTGTAGTAAAGGGAACAAGGAGAAGAGGTTTTCCTTTTGTTCACTCAAGAGCAAACTTAACTCGGTGGAACGTCTTATCTAATTGGTTTTGGCAGCAGGAATCCAAGCACCAGAATCTGAAAGGGGAAGCAGCACTTGGGGGAGAACTCAGGAACTGCTTACACAGGCATCTTTCCACTACAAGATTCTGCTTCTAACACTTCCTTCTAATCTTGGACAGATTTTATTCCTACAACATTGAAAGAAGGTTCCTTCTTTACATTAGTAACATCTCTTACGTATCTCTTATGTTAAAATCTGGGGATTTTAGATCATCACATGCCAAAACCCATACCCATAGGCTTGGATTCCTAGAGGTGAAAGTGAAACTCTCATCTTTGATTTCTTCTTAACTGTATTTTTCTGTTGTTCCACACTTTTGCCCTTGCCTCCTCTCTCTGTTCTGTGTCTGACCTTTGTATTTTTCATTTTGCCTTCTTCTCTGTTCCCCCCACCCCTTTCCTATCCCATCTTCTCTTAGGTTCAGGCTACCCACTCAAAACAATTAGCACTGCAGTCCTTCTCCTCAGGACTTTGGAGTCCTTAGAATCTCGCATCCATGGGCTTCAGGACACCCTTTGGGAAAACTAAAGGTGTGGTATGTTGTCACCATTGGCTGTACAAATCTGCTGAGAAGAAAATACCTTTTCTTCCTAGCCCCCCAAATAGTTGAAAAAACATGCAGAGTAAATGAGGAATTCAAATAAACATGTTTTGCTGTAGTTCATGTCAGAAATGACTTCTGCTTTTTCTCTCCCCTCCCCTGCCCCTAACCCCACTAGCAGATTCCATGGTTTTATTGCATAAGACTCTGAGATACCAGAATTTCACATGGACATTTCTTAGGGGACATTGTCCAGCTAGTTGAGGAAACACAAAGTTTCTATGAATTTGTTCAGAATTAGCTGCTCTACCTAGTGGAAATTTCTGGAAATCCACTATACCTCCCATCTATTAGCTAACCCCCAAATTTAAAGACAAGTCTGATTTGCCTGTGGCTCTCACAGAATAATCCCATTGGTTTGATCTCTTGCAGATAGCTGATCTTGGTGTTGCTTCCTTTAAGATGTGGAGTAAACTGACTAAAGAGGAACATAACGAGCAGAGGAAATTGAATCGAGTCTCTAAGAAAAACGGTGGAACCCTTTGCTACATGGCCCCTGAGCATCTGAATGACATCAACGCAAAGCCCTCCGAGAAGTCAGATGTGTACAGCTTTGGCATAGTACTTTGGGCAATATTTGCTAATAAGGAGCCCTATGAAAGTAAGACATTTGTAGAGGAGTGAGGTGTTAATCAGACCTGCTGAGTAAAATAGTGGCCTTCAGTGAAGTCAGTTAAGACTTATCATGTCTGTTCATTTAATGTCTTTCTTACCCGTTAGACCATAAGCTACACAGGGTCTGGGACCATATTTGATTTCTTCAGTGCTACTTTACCAGTATCTGCCCACACAGTGCCTGGAACACAGTAGGTGTTCAACACCATGAGGTTGAATGAAAGTAATTTCAGTTTGGGAATCAGGGATCACAGGACAAGTAGGAGACTTGACGATATATCTGAGTTCGGGAGGTGCCATAAAATTCCGGGATTCTTCCTGGACTAGAAAGCTTGCTTGCTTCTGCTTATGAAACATTGTATTTCATACTTGATTCATTCACTTGCTCCCTTACTCGAGAATCATTTCTTTTCAGTACTTACTGTGGGCACTTTAATTCAAATAAAGAATGAAGAGGTGAGAAAAGACATGGTTCATGTAGGAGAACAGATACAGAAGTAGTCATTCTTCAGACTAATGGACATTCTCTGGTTCCATTTTCTTGGGTGATTATCAGCTCCCCTGGTTTAATGATCACCCATTGCCACTCAAATCTCTTATCTCTAGCCCTGGCCTGGATATCCACTTATCTGTTATGTCCATTACACTTACCAGAGGAACCCCAAAGCAACATCCCCTAAATAGACTCATCTTCTCCATGTTCCCTTTGTTGTCCACTCAGCTTTGCTCTTCTCATGTTCAGAAAATGGCATCACCATCTACCTACCAAGTTGCTGGACCAGAAACCTTATGCATCCCAGTCTCAGCTTTACCCCTTGTTTCCCATATCCAATCAGGCATCAAAATCTATGAGTTCAAGGTATACATACACTTCTACCCCCACCAGACTCTGCTGGTCACACCTTCCGTATTTCTGCTGAAGCCTGCTCATGCCATTCCCCATTCACACTGCAGCCAAGCTGGTCATCCTAAAAGGCAAGTATGACCATCTCTCATCTATTTAAATCTTTCCAAGGCTCCCTGGGCCTTCAGGTAAAGTTCAAATTCTTCAGTATGGAATACAAGGCCCTCTCTGATACGGCTTTTCTGTCTTTCTCTATCCTTATTCTTTATCTCTCTTTCCTTAGTCAATATGTCCAGTGAGAGTGAACTACTCATAATTCCTGGGACACATGATGATTTCGGGGACTTCCAGTCTATTCATATCCTGCTTCCCTAGCCTGGAATCCTCTCTGAGTCCTCCTTCCTGATTCTTTACATGGATAAATCCGGCTTATTTTCTTGACTCAGCAAAGCCTTCTCTGACCTTCTAGTCACGGTTGTGTTAGAAGAACCCTATGTACTCCTTGAATAGCAGTTACCACTCTGTATTCTCAGTCACTCTCAATAGACTGAGCTCCTTACAGGTAAGAGCTATACCATATTTGTTTTTGTATTAAAATCTGGAGTATGCCATTGGTTTTATTTATATATTTTATTTGTTCTACCAGGCGGCCACCTTGTGATGAATTCTGTCTCTCCTTGCCAAGGTTAAATGTTGTTTGATCATCTGGACAGTAGACTATGTCAGTGCCTTTTCAGGGGGTCATTCTGACCCTATTGGATGAGGCACCTGGACTAAAAGCACAGCCTTGGTAGAGAGAGATTAGCAGCTTTGTCCAAGTTCTACCACCTCCCTACCTGAGACATGCAGGACCTGAGGAGAAAGTCAACTTAAATCCTTCTTTGCTTTATAGATGCGATCTGTGAAGAGCAGTTGATAATATGCATTAAATCTGGGAACAGGCCAAATGTGGAAGACATCCTTGAGTACTGCCCAGAGGAGATAATCAGCATCATGAAGCAGTGCTGGGAGGCAAAACCAGACATTCGGCCAACATTTACTGGTAAGGGCATCTTTTATGACCTGTACATTGCCGGTGAGGCGATTTTTTCCTAGGAAGATATAATCAAGTTGCTTTAAGTTTTCAGAAAACTCAGTTCCACTTGTGATTTCAAATTGATTTTCTAGATTTCAAACATTTTGTTCAATGAAAAGATACCATCCCTCTCAAAAGCATGAAGGCCTACAATGTGCTCTTATTTCTTTTTTGTTTCATAATTAACTTATTAAAAATTGTGTTAAGATTGGGGCGCCTGGTTGGCTCAGTGGGTTAAGCCTCTGCCTTCGGCTCAGGTCATAATCTCAGGGTCCTGGGATCGAGCCCCACATCGGGCTCTTTGTTCAGTGGAGAGCCTGCTACCCGCACCCCGCACCCCCCCACACTCTCTGCCTGCCTCTCTGCCTACTTGTGATCTCTGTCAAATAAATAAATGAAATATTTAAAAAAAAATTAAAAAACAAATAAAATTTCTAAAAAAAAAAATTGTGTTAAGATATACGTAACATCATTGACCATGTTAACCTTCTCTTAAGTGTACAGGTCAATGGCATTAAGTACGTTCACAGTGTTGTACGTCTGTCACCACCGCGCATCTCCAAAACTTCTTCATCTTCCTCAACTGAAACTTTGTACCCATTAAATACCAACTCCCCATTCCCCTCCCCCCAGCCCTTGGTAACCACCTTCTAACTTTTCATCTCTCTGAATTTATTCTGTTATTTCTATTGTTACATAAACAGAAAGGTACTCCTCTGGGTACCTCATGTAAGTGGAATCATATAGTATTTGTCTCTTTGTGCCGTGCTTAGTTCAGTCAGCATAATGTCCAAGCTTCCTCCATGTTGTAGCCCGTGTCAGAAGTTCTTATCGCTGGATGATATGTATTCCGTGGTGTGTATAGACCACATTTTCTTTATTCATTCATCTGTCAATGGATACTTGGGTTGCTTCCACTGGCCTCGTTGTCTCTTAGCTTCTATTATTTCTTCTCTCTCCCTTTGTGTAGCTGACATCCTTGGAAATGTATGTTCTCATTTAGATTGGGCCTGTAGTAGAGGAAGAGGGAGAGGGACATGGATGTTTTTCACATCCTTGCACTTCTTCCCACTCCCCTAGGTTACCTAGGATCTTGCTAAGATCCTAGATGCAGAGGAAACATGGAAATCAGAGGAAAGACAAACAGTTGAGCAAAAAATAAATAGCAAGAAGTCACTTAGGAGCCCGTTTTTGCTATGAGAAAACAGAATTAAAGCCCTGCCTCCAACTACTACCAAGGATTAAAGGAGTACTTTGGTTTATTTGCTTATTTTCTTATTCTCTTAGTTGGCCAATCTTCTCCTGACTTGGTCTTTTCTCTTGTTTTATGCCTTTTTCACTTTTTTTAAAATTAAAGTGCTTATTTTGAGATTATTGTAGATGTACGTGTGGTTGTAAGAAAAACACAGAAGGGTACTGGCTGGCTTAGTTGGTAGAGTGTGGGACTCTTGATCTCAGGGGTTGTAAGTTTAAGCCCTAGGTTGGGTGTAGACATTACTTAAAAATCTTTTATTTAAAAAAAAAAAACAATGCGCACTGGGGTGGCTCACTCAGTTAAGCCTCTGCCTTTGGCTCGGGTCATGATCCCAGAGTCCTGGGATCAAGCCCTGCATTGGGCTCCCTGCTCCATGAGGATCCTGCTTCTCCCCTTCCCTCTGCCTGCCACTCTCCCTGCCACTCTCTCCTCTCTCTCTGTGCCAAATAAATAAAATAATATCTTAGGAAAAAAAAGAAAAAGAAAAGAAATAAGAAATATTCCTTATCCTTTTACTGAGTTTACCGCAATGATAACATCTGGTTAAACTATAGTATGGTATTACAAGTAGGATGTTGACATTGGTAGAGTCAGATACAGAACATGTCCATCACCACAAGAGCCCCTTATATTGCCCTCTTATAGCTACACCCACTTTCCTCCCCAGCCCCACCCCCCTCCTTCACCTTTGTCAATTACTGATCTGTTCTCCATTTCTTTTTTTTTTTTTTTTGTCATTTCGCAAATGTTACATAAATGGAAATAGAATCATAAAATACTTTTTGGAAACACTTCAGGATTGACTTTTTGCCACTCAGCATAAATCCCTGGAGATTCATCAAGGCTGTTGTGTTTATTAATGATTTGTTGCTTTTCCTTGTATGGTGTGGCTGTACCACAGTTATTTTCACCTCAAAGGAAATCTGCTTTGTTCCCAGTTTTTGGCTGTTACAATGAACACTGCTGTAAATATTCATATTACAGGTTTTTGTGTGAATATAAGTCTTTATTTCTATGGAATAAATACCCAGGAGTGAGACAGCTAGGTTGTACAGTAGTTTCATGATTGGTTTTTTTGTTTTGTTTTGCTTTTTTTTGTGGGGTTTTCTTTTTGCCACTATTTTCCAGTGGTTGTACCATTTTATGTTCCTGGCAGCAGTGTGAACCACCAGTGATCCAGTTTCTCTGTATCCTTGCTAGCATTTGATATTGTCACTATATAATTTTAGCCATTCTGATAAGTATGTAGTGATATCTTGCTGTGGTTTTAATTTGTATTTCTCCAATGGCTAATGATATTGAATATGTCTTTTTTTGTGCTTATTTGCTATTTGTCTATCTGTTTTGGTAAAATATTGCTTTACTAACTTTTGCCCATTTTCTAGTTAGATTGCTTGTTTCTTTTTAACTATTGAATTTTTGAATGTTCTTTACATATTCTATATGGTATTTCTTCATTGGATATGTGGTTTGCAAATATTTTCTTCCAACATGTAGTGCTTTTTTTTTTAATCCTCTTAGCAGCATCTTTCACAGAGTAAAAGTTTTTGATGAACTCTAGTTCATTAATTTTTTCTCTTATGGATTGCACTTTTGGTGTCCAGCCTAAGAACACTGTCAGGGTTAGCTTTCAAAGATCTTATAATGTGTTTTTTTCTAAAATTCTTACAGTTTTTTTTTTAAGATTTTATTTATTTATTTGACAGAGATCACAAGTAGGCAGAGAAACAGGCAGAGAGAGGGGGGAAGCAGGCTCCCCGCCGAGCAGAGAGCCCAATGTGGGGCTTGATCCCAGGACCCTGGGATCATGACCTGAGCCGAAGGCAGAGGCTTTAACCCGCTGAGCCACCCAGGCGCCCCTAAAATTCTTACAGTTTTACATTTAAATCTGTGTTAAGTATTTTTTTTTCTATAATTGTCACGGAAAATTTTTAATTTATAACCAAAGAACAATAGCACAGAGCTAAATATTTGATTGTCTTTCTTACCTGTTACTCAATTTATATTTTATTGGAAAAATAACACAATCCATTTTGAGTTAATTTTTGTATAAGATATGTGGCTTAGGTGAATCCCATTTTTTGCCTATCAGTATCCTCTTGTTCAGCACCACTTGTTGAAAGTCTATCTTTCCAAGGTGCCTGGGGGGCTCAGTCGGTTATATGTCTGACTTCAGCTCAGGTCATGATTCTGGAGTCCCAGGATCAAGCCCCACATCAGGCTCCCTGCTCAATGGGGAGCCTGCTTCTCCCTCTGCCCCTCACTCCACTCACGCACCCTCTTGGAAATAAATAAATAAAATCTTAAAAAAAAAAAAAAAAAGGAAAGTCTATTTTTCCTCTATTGAGTGGCTTTTTCTTCTTTGGCAGAAATAAGTTGGGATATCTGTATGCGCTTATTTCTGGGTTCTCTATTCTGGTCCATTGATCTATGCATCTATCCCTCTGCCAATACCCACAGTCTTAATATAGTGGTATGTTTTAAAACCGAGTAGACTGATTCTTCCCATTTTTTTTTTATTTAAAAAATTCTTTTAGCTACTCTAGTTCCTTTGTATTTCCATATAAAATTTAGAAAAATCTTGTCTATAAAGAAATCTCACCCTGATTTTGATAGAAATTATGTTAAATCAGTATATCCATTTGAGGAGAATTGAGATCTTTACTATATTGAGTTTTCTAATCCATGAACACAATATGTCTCTTTATTTATTTATATCTTCTTTGATTTGTTTTATCAGTGTTGTATAGTCTTCAGCATACAAGTCCTATATATTTCTCTTTTGAGCAATTGTAAGTCAGCTATATTTTAAATTTAGGTGTCCATTTGTTCATTGCTAGAATATTGAAATATAGTTGGTTTCTTTGCATGCTAATCTTGTATCTTATGACCATATTGAAGTGACTTATTAGTTCTAGGAGTTTTTTGGGATATCTTCTTTAGATTTTCATGTCATCTCCAAATTGAGACTGTTTTCTTTCTTCCTTTCTGATCTGACTTTTATTTCCTTTTCTTACTTTATCACATTGGCTAGAATTTCTAGCATTATCTTGAATAAGAGCAGTGAGAGCAGACATCCTCACTTTTTCTCAATATTAGGAGAAAACACTCAGACTTTCAGTATGAAGTATGTTAGCTGTAGGTATTTTGTAGATACTCTTTATCACTTGATGAAGTTCACCATTTTCTTATTTTTCTGAGAATTTATCATGAATGGGTTTTGAATTTTGTGAAATGCTTTTCCTGCATTGATTGGTATGATGATGTGATTTCCCTTCTTTTAATTGTTAAGATGGTGAATTATACTAATTTTTTAATACCTAACCAGCCTTGCATCCCAGGAATGAAACCTATTTGGTAATGGTGTGTGATTCTTCTAATATATTGATAAATTCTATTTACTAATATTTTATTAAGACTTTTTCAAGTATAGTCATGAGGACATTGGTCTATAACTTTCTGCTTTTTGTATTATCTTTGTCTGGTTTTGATATCAGGATCAATATTGGCTTCATAAAATAAATTGAGAAGTTTTCCCTCCTAATTTTTGGAAGAGAATGGGTGATGTAAGTGATGTTAATTATTTAAAAGTTTGGTAGAATTCTCCCAAGAAACCATCCAGGCCTGGAAATTTCTTTCTTTCTTTCTTTCTTTTTTTTTTTCAATTTAAAAACTGAAAAGTTGATTTCTTTAGTAGTATAGGAGCTATCAA